ACATAATAAATAAATAAAATTTTAATCTATATAATACAATAAATACAGTATAATACAATAAATATAATATAATAAATATCATACAATAAATATAATATAATAAATATATAAATACTATATATCTTTTTAGTATATTTTTAATACAAAGTGTTAAGATACTTTGTAAAAAGCTAGTGTATTTGGTAAGCATTGTTTTGATATACTTAAATATTTTTTTTAATAAGTACTTGTGCTTTTAATTTGGTTTGTTTTATTATTAATCTTTTTTTTTCTTCTTGTTTTATATGTTTCAATACAGTTAGCAATCATTTAGTTTCAGAAGAATGATCTTTTTCTATAATTTGTTCTGGAACTTTTATATTTAAAAGTTTAACTTTTGAGATTATCAAAATATCATCAAGTTTTTCTAAAAAAGATAATTTTATTGATTATCTTTAAAATTTATATATCATATTTCAATTATATATAGCTTAGATTTGAGTAAAAAAAACTATTGAATTATTTAATACTTTATTCTAAATTATATTATTAGAATTAAATTAATTTTGTTTAGAAAATAGCAACTATCTTTTTAGAATAATCGATAGCAAAATAGAACCTTTCATTAGAAGCAGATAGTAGCAAGATAAATTATAATTAATATATAATTTATAAAGATAATCAATGAAATATTTTTTAAAGATTTTTTAAGAACTACCAAGTCAATTTTAATGTTCTTACTACTATTAGATATGTCTTGATGAGCTTTACAGCTTGTATTAAAATCCTAAAGGTGATTGATTTACTTAGTAAGAAAAAAGTTTTTCTTGGATAAATACCACATTTTCATCTTAAAAGATTTATATATAGAACTGAGTTGCATTTTACTATAATAATTCTTCAGTTCACTAGAAGATTATCAATTAAATCATTATATTAATAATTAATTTATATAAAGTATTTTAGATACTATACAAACAAATCTTCCAAATATATTTTATATATACTGCATATAGTATATCAAAAGGAATATTAATATAAAATTTAAAACAAAACTCAGAAATAAAATTTGTGTTACAGCAAAGGCATTATATATAAAGAATTTAAATAATGCTATAGAAGAAATTTCTAATCTACATATGGAAGCTGCTATTTATCTTCTTTTTTTTTTTATTAAGGTGTCCTTCGAGACCAAGCTTTATTGATATTTAACTGTTGACCACATAGGTTTTACATTTAGTATTACAACGAAAGTACAACTAGCTACACGTACAACTTTTGGTTGTCTATTTAAGTAGTCCGCCTGAAGGTTCTACACTAGATGCCATACCTATAACCAAACTAGAGGATTATCTATTTAAACCCTCTAATTATATATACCCACCAATTATTCTAAGCTAGGTACTTTTATACCAAAGTGCCTTCCACTCACTTACTTGGACTTGGTTACTCTGTTGGTTTTCCTAAGATCCTACAGATGGGCATAGTAGCTGCTCCCCTAATTCTTCTATATCTCACACATTTCCGAATTAGATTCAGAAAACCTGTCTGCTATGGCTGAAACCAATACTAGCAGTCAGGGCTAACCATTAAACCACACAATTCTTGGTTCCTCTGCCCTTACAAGATTTGTTTCAATTCTGATACCTATATCTACCTTCCTTCTGGTTCTTATACCGATTCCTCCCAAACTTTCAAACCAGTTAGCCCAGATAAGTCGGTATATCTAGACTTTAAGTATCTGGTGGTTCCCTTCTTTTGGTTCCTAATTCTGTAACATAGGACCTTTTTCTCCAGTATGACTCTAGCGGCCAAGTTGGTAAACCCTTCTTGCTCCAAAATTATTCATTTGGTTCTTCGATCTCTGGTTTTTAGAGTTCTGGTTTCTGCAGTATCATCAAAGATCTTCACTACCTCCTTGCTCAAGTCTTTTCAAATGAGTTTTAATTATTCCGGTTCCTTGGCTTTGTCTGTGTGATATTACACAACTTTGCATGAAAGCTCCCATTCAAGATGGTAATACCAAGGTTACAGGTAATACACCCAACTGATCCTCAAATAAATGTTACTAAAACAAATCTTATTTTTCAAAATCATCGCTAGTGGGATTTAAACTCTAGATCTGCTATTTGGAAAGGTAACAACTTATCAACTTTACTAAGTCACCACACACTGCTATTTATCTTAATAAAATACTACCTGCAATATGAACTTTAAATAAATATCCTCAAAACAGATTTGGTCATTTAACATCTAATATATTAGAGTCTCTTAATTTTTAATTACATGATGAGCATCTTGTAGAATTCTTTGAAGCAATTGTTTTATATGTACATAGAGTTAATATACTATTTTATAATTATTGCATAGCATATTCTTCAGTACAAACAATATTACTGCCAACAACTGCTTAAAGATTCTAGTCTACTATTAATAGATGTTATAATTAAATGGTATATCTAATTAATAAATCTATTTTTGAAATTAAAAGTAACAAAAATAGCTTTCACATTATATACTTACATTTTTAATATATACTTGTCAACAATTTCAGAAGTATTGATTTTCCTGCATATATGCTTGTGCTGCTATTCTTAAGATAAGTCAACAACTATCTTAATTTGCCTATACTATATATCATACTAGCACTCTTTATAATGTTTATAAAGAATCAGCTTATCCTGTTAATGCAGAAATGTGTTTTTTTGACCATAAAACTTTGCCACCACCTACAATTAAGCAAGCAGAATGACCTTGAAAAACTCAGTTACATAGTCATGAAAAAACAGCACCTGAAGATCAAATTACTTGCAAAAAATGTGACAAAAAGGTTACAATGCCGTATATTACTGAATAGAAGCTACCAAAATTTTGAGAGTTTTTTTGGACTAAAAAGAGGGAGTAGCTTCTATTTGGGTCTAATTTTATTATTAAAACATAATAACTTCCTCCAAATTTTTAATCCAAAATAAAGGGGGTAGCTTTTATTCGGGGGTAGCTTCTATTCGGTAATATACGGTATATATACTTGTAGCCAAGAACATAAGCAAAAAGAAAATTAAAAGGCTGTTTGAAAAACAATATATTAGTAATTATTTAAATAGTGAAATTGGCATTTGTAATGGTTGGTTTATATATATTATTATCTTGCAAATTCAATGTAACATGCAATTATACTTTTTAATAAAATTTAATAAAATGCTTATAATGCTTTATTTTTGAGTCAAATAATTGTGATACTGTTATAGTATAATAATACTTGAGCTCTTATTTGTAATATTTTAAAATTTTAAACCTTTATATATAAATATTTTTGTTTTAGATCTGTCTTTGTAAATATTTTTATTTTTGAACCCTTATTTGTAAATTCTTCTATTATTATACATATTGAATTATATTACAGTAATATATAGATTATGGGAAGTGCTATATATAAGCATACTGCAAAGTATGAAATATAAATTTATCTACAATTTATTAAAATTAAGAATCAAAAAAATAATTTGACAACTTTTTTCACTAATCCTCTATACACAAATTCACAAAAAAAATTTTCTAACAAAATATATAAATAGTACTAAAAAACTTATATATTATTGATTATTTTTACTGTATTAAACCTTCCAAAGTAGTTTTATTAATAAAATTTTATATTATATTGTATATTAGTACTGTAATATTATTAGTATATAGCAATAATAGTAAATCTCAAAAAATTTTTTGTAAAATTTTATGTAATTATCTTGTTTAACCTAGCATAATGAAAGTTCACTTTGATTGGCTATTTATTTTATATTAAAAAGTATTGTTACGCGTGTTTTTATATTAGTTTACAATAGACATTTTATCTAAATAAGACGTAGTTAAATTTTTACAATCAAAGCTGTCTAAAATTTTGTCATATTATTTTTTGGATGCTTAACTTTTATATAAACGTAATTAAGTGAGCTCAAGTGTTCTACCAACTTTTATTAAAAGGCATTTTGATAATATTAATACATAGTACGGTATGAGTTTATTTAGTTTTTAAAGCGAAGTAACTAATAAAAGTCAAATTTCTTTTTGAATAAATGTTTCAAATTTCACGTGAGCAAGATGATTAAAAATTGTATTTACGAGTATTAGAAATGGGTCCCAATTATTTGCCCGACATTTATTTGCCTGATAATTACTTTCTCGACAACTATTTGCCCGACATCTTCATTTGCCCAACAATCACTTGCCTGACACCTTTTTTTTATTTATAATCACTTTCTTAATATTTTAAATGTGTCAGGCAAATGATTGTCGGGCAAATGAAGATGTCGGGAAAGTAATTGTCAGGCAAATGGTTGTCGAGAAAGTAATTGTCGGGCAAATAATTGGGACCCTTAGAAATAACATATGCTAATTTTTAATTTTGACCGATCAAAATTTGTGTAGATTAGTCAATAAAAAACAAACTTCCGTTTAACCCTAACTCTATCTCTAATCTAACTCTAATTATAAAACAACCACCATAATGCTATGGCATTATAATAATATCCTCTTATTAAAAAAATTAAAAATTAAAATTTTACTTTCAGAATCTTAATGTAATATCTAAAAAAATTTTAAATGTCAAATTAAATCTTTATCACAATATAAAAAAAATACATATATTTTATAGTTGCATTACAAAATCAAAAACCTCATCGTATTAACTTACGGGTGCGAGAAACTTTTGACGGGCACTGTACAAAAAATTTTATTATATTAATCAACTTTAAATCAAATATTGAAATTTTTCGTAACGAACGTTATCGCTTTTTAATATGCCAGGAACATTACATATCGATTTTTTTACCTTTATTTAAAATAAACGATATAAAATATTGGCGTGGCCAGCGGGAATTTCTGAACTATAGTTATTATTGGTAGATTAATCTTTTGAGACAATAGCCGACTAAGCAGTATCAAATTATCGACTCGGCAAAGCTTGTAAAGTTTTGACTACAAATCACTAATCAAATATTTTTGAGATATCTTTTTGATATTCGTCGTCAAGCTTCTTTTTCTTTCGCCTGTCAATCTCTTCTCGTTCTTCTTTTTCGCGTCGTCTCTTTTTTGAAGCTTCAGTACTATTATGTTTGATTTCCTAATTATTTTGATACAAATAATCAGCTATCTCCAGTTTAAATTCAAGAGATTTCTCGTATAGTAACTTGATTTTAGGGATATCCTTTATAAAATTCTTTTAATAGAATAATTATAATAATAAGTACATAAGAAGAGAATCGTTTGATCTTTAATAAGATAAACATAACAAAATATAGCTACTACCTGCATATCTAGAAATAATCCAAATGAAGCTAAATATGGATGGTGAACCGCGTATTCATATCTCAAACTTTGTGAAACTACAATTTCGAGTTCAAATATCGTTTCTTTAGGAAATTCGAACACCTTGGTAAATTCCTCAATAGCAACGAAAGAGTGTTCAACTTTGGCAGCGAGAAACAGACAAGTAACACTATTTTTATCAAAATGATCAACTCATTAAAAAAAAACAGCGAATGTTGCTTTCAATGCTAGATGATACATTTACATACATGATTTCTTTAGGATGGTAATCCATTACAGTATTTCGCAAATAGAATCTTTTGGCAAAAGTTATCGCAGTTGCCTTGGAAAAAGGTTAAATTTTAACACAAGAAACAGTATGTGATGTATCATTTAAGAGATATCTTTGTGCAATGATATTTACTTTTACTTTGTCAGTGAATTTATTCTCGATAACTTCTTTTGGAAAGTGATTTGCCATTAGAGGTATCCGAGTTTCGTAAAAATTGCATAATGCCAACTCATCTTCCAAAGTTAAATATTCAATCTCTGACGAAGAATCTACACTTTCTGTTTGATCACTGTATGCAGAAGAAGCATCTAAAGTTTGCTTTTGTAAGATCTTTGAAAAAAGTGAGATTTAGTAACATAAATCATATTTTTCACTTATTTGATATTTTCACGTACTAATTCTTCTAACAACTTTTTCTTTACTCTTTCTACGGCTAATGTGTGGTTATTTTCACGAGTTTCTTGTAACTTTGCTTTTGAGAAACGCCAGTTACGATATTGGGATGTTTCTGTATAAAGTTCTTTCATCATAAAATTTTTTAATTGAACCGAGAAAGGAGAGTATATTTTACCAATCAGAATCAAGCATTCAGTTCACCAAATATTATATAAATGCACGATCCAGATTTTATCCGGTTTTACGTACGTACGTACGTACATACTAAAAAAACGTCAAAAATGTCAAGCCACAAAGAGGAAAGAATTATATTGAATGTTGGCGGAATTAAGGTATGGCATAAAAATAGCTTGCCCAAATCACATGATATATTTACTAAATAATCTTGAACTTTATCGTTATATAGTACGAGACATACCGCTCAACGCTCACTGCTTATCCAGATACTATGCTTGGTACGATGTTCCAAGAAAGAAATGGATCATTGCTTCATCCGACCAACGGCAATGAATATTTCTTTGATCGAAACGGATATGCATTTCGTTTCATAATTGAGTTTTATCGTACTGGTAAGATTCTTTGGGAAGAACCAATAACACCTTATAATAACACAAGTTCTTTGATGGTCACTCGTAATGAATTACATGAAGAAATAGAATATTTTCGTATTCCATATAATCTCGGTATTGATAATAAAAGAGTACGATTCAAAAAACGACCAGCCGAGGTTATCGATGTATTCGTGTTAGTGCTAGAATCATTTATTGACATTGCCTTGAAGGAATGGCATGGTGATGTCAAAATATATCTTTATGAGGATACGATTTCTTTCAAGGCTTTTTTTGATAATGAAGACGTATCAAATCGTCAATTTGGGAATCCAAATGATTTCAAAGTTTTTAAAAGGATGGGATATAAAATTTTAAATTCTTTTGCTAAAAATATTGCAGAATATTTTAAAAAATTGATCCCTGGGCTTCAATGGGATTGCCATCACTTCGATAACCAAATTCCACAGGTCACTCTTACTCACTTCGCACTAAAAATCTCATTTACAACTCAATATTCTTCGGAAATATTAGAATGTACAAAATTTTATTCAAGTTTAAAGTCATTAGATGATGTGGAACATTAAGCATTATTATTGTAGAACTGTCATATATCTTCATGATTTAACGAATTAAAAGAGAATTGTTAAAACACGTTCGATTCGCTGTCCAATCAAAAACCGTGTGACTTACGTAAAAATTCAAAATGCCAATTTTTGTTTTGGCGTTTCGCTTGCCCGATTCTTGCTTTTACCGTCGCGATCTTGGGCTCGTTTATAAAAATTAAGTATGAATAAAAAGCAAGAAGAGCGACACCTTAGGTGATAATATATATTACATTATATATTACATTTATACCGCGTTTTTCTTATCGCTAAATATATATACATATATATATAAGAATAATTCTAGATCTTTTGAAACAACCGGAAAATAAAAAATGCTTTGATTGTCCAATAAAAGTATGGAATGATGCTCCTTAATAAATTCAATTCAGAATACTCACACCGATCATGTAAACACGTTATTAACGTCCTTTCTTATTGCCTAGGGCCCAACATACGTGAACCTTTTCAACAATAGCTTCGTGTGCGCGAGATGTTCAGGTCTACAGTGAGTTAAGCCTATTTAATTGATCTTTTGTTTAGTCCAAATTGATATTAATGTCCCGGATGTTTAATAATTCACTAAATCTAGTCGAGAGTTAAATCATCGTGTTAAATCGATGTCGGCATCAACTTTTTCTCCCACAGAAATTGATTTATTGAAAAATGGTGGTAATGCTGTAAGAAACATATGATTGTTTATATGATGCAAGAAGTCTTAATATTTTATTTAATTTTAATATTTCAACTCGTAACTTTATCATAAGCACTATAAAGCTATTGGTGGAATTTATTTCTATTTTGAGTTGAAAGATTTTTAAATTAAAACTACCTTTAAGACTTTCTGCACTATGATCCTTTTGATTTAAGATAATTCTCTGCTAAAATTTTTAGAAAGCTGCAGAAATATGGCTCGCAAAATACAAGTGGACAGATTTTCCTGAGCCTGATTCGGAGGATGTTGATTCTATCAGGCGTTTCATGCGTATGAAATACATTCAAAAAAAATGGTTAGATGAATCTCTGTTACCTGGGCAACCTTTAAAAATATCCACCAACGACAATTTGGATGTATGTTAAGGCTTATACTGTCATTTCATTGCACATTGCACTAATGTTAATGTATACTCCCTTTAATTTCCTAATAACTTGACAGGGAAAAGAAACATTCATGATTAATTCTCCAGCTCTGAACTGCAAATCTGGCAATTTCACTGACAATTCTTCGAATGATTCACTAAATTGGAACTCTAACATAGCATCCAATGACAAAAGAAAATCTTCAATGGGTGATACGAATACTTTTAAGGTAAAAATTTTGTTGCATAACATCTATTTCAAAATCTATCTATTCATAGTTAAAAATAAAATCAATCCTTCAAGACTGCACTGGAAATTAATTGGAATAATAATAATTCAAACGAAAATATAATCTCTAACATTCCGATATTGCCAAAACCGAATGCAAGCAATCTCACTATTAATTCACCCAATCAAACATCCAATACTTTATTTACGTCAAACTCAGGCCAGGATCGTGAGTCTAAACCGAAAAATGAGATCGACGATTTCTTCTATTCATTAAATAACACATCAACTCAATTGAACGCATCAACAAAACCCATCTCAAGAAATAATACATATCCACTATACAGTAATGCGCCAACATTAACAAGTCAACAAATAGTTCATCCACTTGAACATAGATTGTCGATAGACGAACAGGCTGGTTCTCAGCCAATCAATCTTATTCAACTTCAAGGTGCAAATAATCAGCATCTTGTAACATCGAATTTACAGCCTTCATTCATCCAACAAAAGATTGTCGATCGCAGGCGCTCTACAACATATCCCGTCAAACCAAATAATTCAAGTAACCCTTATTTTGCACACTCGGGCACTGATCCGTCTTCACCCACACAGTTCACCTTTAACAGTGTATGTGATAAACATAGTGTTTTACGAATACCTCTGTATGTCATTAATTTACAATTAATATAACATTTTTATAGAATAATGATTACCTAAACTCACAGAATACTTCAAAAATAACAAATCCTTTTGGTAATGGTCGACACAATTCATTGATTTATATTTTGACGACAATGTAGTTAATGTTTAAATTTTTTTTTTTCAGATACTATAATGTCAACCACACAAAAGTTAAAACCAGATCCGTTAATTGATACTTACCAAGCATTTCAAAATTTAAGTTTGGTCGATATTGAAACTTTACCTGGTTTGCATTTTATTGTTTTATTAAGCCTTCAGGTTCATTTTTGAATTATTTATAATTAATATTCCTGTCATTTCTGTTTACTAGTTTCATCACAACGTTCATCGCGTAATAACTCACAGACCGCTTCAAATTTTCAAAATGCAAACGTCATCGATACCCTTGGTAATTCTGCATCTTCACCAACCCACAATTTATTAAACAGTGGAATACAGCTACCGGACTCAACCCCTACAAGTTCAGGGAATCCATTTCCATTTGTATTCCCTGCGGTCACAACAGTAATTTCACAGCCACATGGATCTGGTCATACTAAGAAAATCTCTTTTGATACAGCATTTAGCGACTTGGATCCGCTTAAAAAGCAATAATACCAGATGAATTTTAATCTTTTCACTATTGAACTAAATTTTATAGTTGCAAAGCATTCATGTATAGTTTTTTTTTTTAATACATTGTACATTAAAACCTCATGTATGCATTATATAATTACTGTGTATTGTAAATTTGCAATAAATTTGTTACTTAACACGACAAAAATATGATATGCATGTGTAATAACTAGAGTTTCGCGTGTTTTATGATAGAATTAGAATTTAAATGGATTTTATTTAATTTCTTTGTTTTGATAAATCTTATATATAAAAGATAGCCGGCTATAATTGATCTTTTTGAGAGAAAAAAACAATCTTAAACTGTTGTGTGTTAAAAAAGTGAGATTGAAATTCTAGAATAACTATGAAGTATTTCATAGACCGACGTTTGATATATATAGTTTTCTTTTTTTTTTAAAAAAAAAAAAAAAAAAAAGGAAGAGTTCGTCTGAAATTGTTTCTTGATTTATATATACGTATATATAATATTGGGGTTATTTACAGTTAAATTTGTTATCGATATGTGAGGAGAATAAAATTCAAAGCCTGTTATTTGATTGCTACGATTATTTTAACAACTGCCAAGAAAACCAAGAAATCTATGGACAATTG